GTGACAGTGTGTGTCTTTAACGGTGACAGTGTGTGTCTTTAACGGTGACAGTGTGTGTCTTTAACGGTGACAGTGTGTGTCTTTAACGGTGACAGTGTGTGTCTTTAACGGTGACAGTGTGTGTCTTTAACGAACTTTAAAGTCAACAACCACAGCCTTTTGAACTCACACAGCTTGTTTTCTGATTAAACAGCTGATGACAGTAAATTCTGAGATGATCTCACAGAAGGAAATTAAAAATGTAGGTACATTTACCTTGACAGTAAAAGTACATCAGCCTTGTGGTGTGCTGTCTTTCAAACTGCAGGTGTGCTGTCTGTTCCTGTTCATCGCAATGGGCATCTTCACCTTCTCTGCCCTGATGCACTCTGTGGAGGTGGACCAGCCTGGGACCCCCTTCAGCAGCATACCTGATGCCTGGTGGTGGGCTGCGGTGAGTCCTCTACAAAATAATAAAGTTTGTGGAAATGAAAAAAGTAGTTGTGTTTAGCAAATGATAAAAAACTAAAGCCATAACTTGTATTTTTTATTGTCTGAATTAAGACTCAATATTTGTGTTTACATGTTTTCTCCCCACACAGTTGTTTTTACAGTCTAACTACGTCTGCATACTTTGTAGTAATTTAACCATTAAAACATTCAGGTCATTCAGGAATGGGTGCTTTGATGATTTTGTAACTTTTATATATTTTTTAAATATTTACCTTTATTTACAGTAACAAGAGGTTAGCTAAAAACTAAATTATCAAAAGGTAAACAATAAATATGCTAAATACACTAAATCTTAGCATACTTGAAGCTAGGCTAATCATCAGTATACTTCAAGTTTGTTAATTATTTAACTTAAAGCATGCCATTTTGGAACAACTATTTTTGTAAAGGAATTACACCTAAACTGTTTTTTTAATGTCTTTCAAATTCATAAGCATTGTACTTTTGAAATATTAATATTGTGATGACAGTATGCTCTGTTATACTTTAGTTTATTATAATTAGTAAGGAAGTAAAATATTTAGCTACTTATCAGTATCCTTTTCACACCACTGCAAACGGCTACCAGCGTACTGTAGGCTGAATTAAATACATTAAAATTAAAACAGTCCTTTTATTTAATGCAGTCTTCAGTTTACTGGTAGACTAACATGTTTGCAGTACATTAGTTTGAAGTAAATAGTATACAAGTAGAGTAAAAAAAGTTATTAGAACACGGTATACTTAAATTGTGTAAAATAAACTTGAAGTTTTTGCACTTTAGCACGTAATAGTACACTTATTACACTACAAATTGAGATTTTCTACAATTTAATTACAACTAAAATATATTTTGTACAAAACTAGTTGATCCAAAATAGCATGTTTTAAGTTAAATAATGATAAAAAACTTGAAGAATACAGATGATCAGAGGAATGGAGGGTGCCAGTCCTCCATCAAAGGTACATTAAACCTTTAAAGGTTTGAGAATAAATACTTACAAACTGTTATTTGGAAAAGGACAAAAGGAAGAACTGAATTATTTAATTTTATTTAATTATTCAATTGGAATTGTTATGGTGATTTTTATATTAAAAATAAATTTATATTTTCACAACCTCTGATCAGACAAGGATGAGTTTATTTATTTATTTATTTATTTATTGACATTTCAACAAAAATAGTAACATAATAACACACAGGCCTACTTTGTTAGCATGAAATGTCATGTACACCACTGAAAGCATTTAATTCAAATATATTTACACAGCATTACACAAAGTACTTACAAGTAGTTTTGAAACCTTATTTTTTAAATGATTTAAAAAATAAGGTTTAAAATATTTCTACAAAATMTATTTGAAAACACCACCAAAAGTATAAGTTCAGAAGAGTATTGAATATTTATGTTTGTAATGTGTTGTTTTCAAATGTACATTAAAATATATACGTCTACAAATAATTACAAAGTGTATTTTAAAAAAGATTACATGAAGTATAGTTGTAATAAAATATTTAGTTTAAATTTAAGGTATATTTTACCAAATATATTTTTATAAAGTATACCAAAATATATTTTAAACCAACGTATTTGAAGCATCTTTTTTATTTTAAACTTTGAAAATAGTTTTAACAAGAGTTTAACTTTAACAAGTGGATCCAATTGATAAAGTGTATTTCAGAAAACTGCAGTTTATTTAAAATATACTTAATATATTATTTTTTAACCTGGGAAATGTAACAAAAGGCCAGCTAAAAACTAAAAGTATCTGAAGGAAAGTTAAAATGACCAAGACAAAGGTTAAAAGCTAAAAACATGCTTACAATTAAAAGTATAAGAAAATAAAATAGAGTTAGTGTGCTGAAGCAGATTTTAAAGAGAACAATATTTTTTAAAGAACTGAAGAGATTCCAGTTTATTTTATAAGGATTTATGTTTTCTCTGTTTTAAAGTTACGTTTGTCACCATTCTTATAGATAGAGAGATTATTTTGGCTATTTTCATGTCTGTAAATATTCCAGTAGAAAATGATAAATTACATAAATAGGTAAATGGTAATCTCTGTAACACAATCAATCATGTCCTTCACCAACATCTTATCCATGTCCATCCAGTCCTTTGATCTTTTATCGGTAAGATTTCTTTTATAATTCTCCATATTTCTCCCTCATCAGTTTCATCAAGAAAGATGCTGCTRACACAACCCACGACTGCATGACTTGTAGTATTGTGTACTTTTGGTATTTTCGATGCAAGACTTGGGCCAACATTTGCATAGTACTGATTAAATTCATTTAATATTTGATTTTGATCATATATTTCCTTGTCATTTTTTACAAAATAATTTGAAATACCTGAAGATGTTTTATTATTTTTCAAAACACTATTCCTTATTCTCCATGTCACCATTACGTTTGTCGAATAAATCTCTGTAATATTCCTTCTTATGTTTTTTTTAATAATCCAAACCAACTTGTTTTTGTATTTCTTGTATCTATCATGCAGGGGTGTCACTAGGTTTTAAGGACA